TTTCACCCATTGTCCACTTCCAAAAATTTTGTTTTCAGTAAAACAATTGTTTCTGGGAATTTTTGAAATTTTTTGAAATTTTTCACATTAATTTCAGCAACAAAATCCCTTAAAAGGGCATTTCCAAACCTAATAGGTCGTGATGAGTCACAATTATGGATAGACATTACCTAGACCTTTGATGCCAGTATAAGGAGGGAAACCCCCTCATTCTTTGCACATTATTTTCTAGCCTCTCTCTCTACCTTCTATCTCCACGCCCCACTCTCTCTTCCCTCTCTTGTTCTACCTTCTCTCTCTCTAGGTGGCACACCACCCCCCCCCCTTGAAGACTCTAGGGGTGACATGCTGGTAAGTAGCTTGCCCAGCCCTAGATTAGATCAAGGGGATGTCGGATACAATGGCATGCCCAAAACTTCATAAAGGGTCCAAGAAACCCTAATGGTATTACGCTCTCATAAAAACTCTAGTTTGTGAGGTATTGCCTAAAGAAGCTTCCCGATTCAGAAAATTCAGTAAAGCCAATACGATTAGAGTGCGTCATCAGTCAGGATATCAAGTATAGGATCTACTAAGACCTATGGGGGTGACCCTGGGCAAATTCAAGTAAGTCTCCTTGGCTATTTGCTTTTATTTTTCAGTCATCTCCACTTGTTCAGTTAAATTTCCAAGAACAATAGTTCTACTTAAATTGGTAGTAAGCTTGTTGTTAGTTCTAGTATTGTGTCTATTCTATTTGGTATTAAAAGCATAGATCCTAAGTTTTATTTGGGGTTTTATTTCTTGTTTACAGCAATATATTGTGGCACTTGTAAGTGGAATTCAGATACATTAATAAAAGAAACAAAGAATTTTTTTATTTTACTCCCTTAAATAATATGAGTAATGATCCTATGAGGCCCTCCCACACCCATGTGTGTAGGACCCCAAAGGATCGTCATTAAATTTGGCACAAATCTATAGAAACGTTATCACATGGGTGTGGGACTTGACTTTTCTAGAGATCTGTGCCAAATTTAATGGTGATCCTTTGGGGTCCTACACACATGGGTGTGGGAGGGTCTCACAAGGTCATTTCTCAAATAATATATAACTACTTCTTTCTTTCCCTAGGTAACCCATGGCCCTCGGTCACCCGTGGTGATTTCCAAAACACTTTGTAAACAATCCTATCATTTTCAGGGTCCAATGGCTTTACCACAGCAATAAGTGCCGAGGTTTTAGCTCTTCATCAAACTCCATAACTTGGAATGGGGTACTTCCTTATTATCGAAGGGGATTCTAAGAATGTTATCACTAGGGCTTAGAAATGTAGGTCCCTGTCACTTAGAGGTAGAAAAACGTAATCAAAGCTACCGTCTCAAACATCCGTGCTTACCAGATGTCGTTGTATAAAGCCAGCCTTTGTGGTGAAGCGGCTCAAGCAGCTCCTGAGGGGCTTCTTGTGGTCCAGGGTCGATGATTCATGTAAATTCCATTTGGTTACATGGGATATGGTAAGAAGACCCAAAGGACAGGATGGGTGGACCAGGGATAAGAAGGCTCTAGCTCTATAACATGGCGCTTCTAGGAAAACTATTATGGCGATGGGCGAGTCAAAACGAACACCTCTGGTAACAGGTGATCCAAGGAAAATATGGTTTGGAGGAGCTGGGTTGGAAGCCAAATGGAAGAGCAGATGAACCTCCCTTCAGGTAATAGAACTAGCTGGGGCCTTGGCTTTGGGAGTTTGGAAGGCTACTACCTCATCTTACCAGATTTAACCCTTTCATTCATATTAGGGCCAAGCAAGGTGATAAGGTACGATCATGGAAGGACTCATCGGCTAGAGAAGCAACCATGCATTCAATATTCCCTAGGCTCTTTGCAGTGGCTAGAACATGAGAGGCCATGGCATTCGAATTCATTGCTGATGAAAGAGTTTGGATGCACATTTTCGAAAGAGATCTCATGGAGGAGGAAACCTAGGACTTGGTCCCTTATACAACTCCTTTTTCTCAATACCTCCCAAGATCAGGGAATGATAGAATAGTTTGGGCCCCAGCTTCCTTAGGGTCCTTCTCAATTAGGTCACTTTACAGGCTGCTCAATCAGGAAATCCATAGCCCTCCTTTAGTCATTGTTTGAAAAGCATAGTTTTCACTAACCCCTTCAAAAGACCAGGCTTTTACCTGGATTGTTTTGTCTAAAAAAAGCCCTTACTTTGGACCATTTACAGCAACGCAAGGGTATCTAGTCAGACAAACATTATGCTCTTTGCAAAAGGGACGAGGAAATTAGGGAGATCATAAGATCCTCCACTGCCCTCTCTCACTGTCAATTTGGGCTCCATCCTCTGAAAATCACTTGGCAATGGATCCTCAAAACAGCCTAGCAATTGTCCTTGCGTTACTTGAACCCACCTTTCCCTATAGGGGTCTTCTCCTTTGGGGGGCAGCAATTTTGGAAATTATATGTAATGCAAGTTTAGTAATAATATAAGCAAAAACAAGGAATTAGTTAAGATTGATAACTAATAAGTACCTATAAGAAATTATTTTCGATGTCTTGGGTCAGGATAATTAATGAGAGATTGAGGAAGATATTACTCATAGCATTAGGGGTTGGGGGACAAAGCAAAGGTGTATTTCTGGAATCTTATATGATTGTCGCGTACCAATGAAACTGAAGGGAAATTCTATAGGATAGCTGTAAGACTAGCCATGTACTATGGGATGGAATCTTACGCAGTCAAAAAACAACATATCCATAAAATGAGTGTCGCTGAGATAATGATGTTTTGATGGATGAGCGACAAGACAAGGAAGGATAGAATTTGGAATAGATATATCCGAGGGAACAGAGGTAGCTCTAATAGGCGATAGAGTGAAGGAAAGTAGACTTAGGTGGTCTGATCATATGAGTTTCGACCTAAAACAGCATTAATTAGGATGGGAGGATATAGTTCAAATGGAAGACTCTAAAAGCGCAAAAAGCAGACCCCAAAGGACATGGATGGAAGTAGTGAGAAAAAATATGGTGACTTATGGTCTGACTGAGGGTATGGTTGTTGATAGAGCGGATGGAAGAATAGGATTCATGTAGCTAATCCAAATAGTAGGGTTCGAATATGATCATCATGATGATATGGATGTTGTGGCTACAACGCTAGAACATGATACAAGGATCTTTGAAGGAAGAGAGCCAGAGCCCAAGCAATAGACGATTGTATCACATTTTTGGTTATTTTTCAACCCCAGTTGCATAACCTATTCCATGGTTGGTCACACCCAAACTACGATCAACATTAGGCATGGGCACTTAAAACAGAGAGTTAAGAACTTCAAACCTAGTCAATGGATACCTCCAGCTGAGGGAGAGATCAAACTAAACTTGTGTGGCTGCTCCCCCAAGAGTGGGTGCTCATGGTGATTTCCAAAACAGTTCATAGACCATCCTATCATTTTCAGGGCCCAATGGTTTTGCCAATGCCACAAATGCCGAGGTTTTAAGCTCTTCTTCCAAGGTACCAAAGTCTACAACTCCGAATGGGGAACTTCCCTTACAATCTAAGGGATTCTAGGAATGTTATTACTTGGGCTTCCAAGTTGGGTCCCTATCCCTGGCAACTTGAACCCCATTTTGACCAAATTTTTGACATCACTATCTCATGCACCTGTGAAAAATAAAAAAATAATTCATAAAAATTAAATGACCAGAATGCCTCTGCAATTCTTTATTTTTTATGATTATTATTATTATTATTTTTTCTGGTGTTCCCAATGGAGCATAAACTCAAAATTTCATCCCAATCTGTTTTAAAAAAAATGAAATTCAAAGAGTGATATGCGTTCTCAACCATCCGATCAAATATCTAATGGGTGAGAGTGCTAGTGAAATTGCTGCAACATTTTGCTAGCAACCTAATGGTAGTTCTCTCTCTCTCTATCTCTCACTTTATTTTTCTATACATATACACACACATACATGTTTGTGTTTGAATGTAACCATCGACTGCATGCCCAATGTATATATGTGTGCGTATGTGTGTATATTGCGGGATCCAAACCGGTAAAGATGATTTTCGATCCAGATCGGGCGATTCTAATTCAGATCAGTGGTTTTTCAAAAACTAGTATGTATATATGTGTGTTTATGTGTGTATACCCGGGTTGTCGAATCCTACTTTTTGAGGCACGAAGAATCTAACACCCCATACCTATGTTCTACACCGACATGCGTACCCGTATCCATGCAACATAACTTTCAGTTTAGTTGTTCTAATTGATTTTACTTTTTGAAACTAAGATGTGCTCCTTTTCTAACTAGACAATTCCTTATTCATCTCCTTCCAATCCAAGATTCGTAGGCACAATACGAAATTCTCATTAAATTTTATTTAATCTCCTCCTAGGATTGGAACATTGCGTAGATCCTTTTCGCTGTCCCTCCTTTCCCCATTCAAACATTCCATACCATCATTTGAATTTACGCACTTACCTTTAACCATCTCCATACTTGAATACCTCTCTTTCTTCATTCGTTAAGCTATATTGTTCATTGGTACTATTTTCAAATGCTAAGTTGTTACTTCCATGATCGCAGGCATCCCATCCGTGTTTTGAGAAAATCATAAAAGCAGTTGATAATGGTTCTTTTACGAACGTGTGAATATGACTTCCCTTGTCATGACAAAAAATTGGTTTAGTTGTTTTAAAACTGGTCATAACCTAAGGAGAAAGTGGTGGCTCTAGTACCATGACAGCAGCAGTATAACAATTTCTATATGTGCAGTCTGCTATGTACAGAAAATGTAAGGAGCATTATGATGGAATGGCCCAAAAAAGCCATAAAATATGTCACACAAAATGGTAGTGACAACAATACCCATACGAAGAGTATAAAGCGATAAAAGCCCCAATAAGTATATCCAAGAACTTAAACTGCAAGCTAATCTCAATCTCCAAAACATGACGAGTTGAAGGCAGCTGCATAAAACACAAAAGCCAGATAGAGCAAACCTGAGAAGGGCAAGATGTTGGGAGTCTTATGCTGTTCCCCGTTTCCAACTCTGGATAAACCTTAAACCTATGAATAACATGGCCCAACAAATAATGATAAGTATACAAATGGAAGAAAATAACATATTTTTACAGTAACATAAACAAACAACCTTCCTGTAGAATATTTACAGTTTAAATTGGAAATTACATTCTTACAGTACCATAAACAAACAAGTCACCAAAACCATTTTAGAGGTGGGTGAGAGACTCATACAAGATCCGAATCACCTCCAATTCATGATCCTCCAAATAAAATTTAATTTGGAGCTCCAAATCTCTTACATCAACTGTCCGTTCAGAAATCAAAATGGATGGCTCAGATCTGATATTGGGGTGACAATAGATTTGGAGCATCTTGACTCTCCTCTATTTTTCTTTTTTTTGGGCATGGGCAGGTAGTGGTTGGTTGGGAGACAGTGTTTTCAAACTGTCCAATTGGCTTTTCCCTGTAAGATTGAGTTGATGTTCTGTGTCCCTTAGATCCCCTATCAACTCAAATAGAAGGCCCAAAATTTTATTTGGTGGTTGCAATAGATTTGAAGCATTTTTTGTTAGGAAATTGTTTTCTAAGACACGAAGACTTATGTGGAAGTTTTATGGGTGTGTTACTACATGTAAAGTGGTTATTGATGTGGCACAGTGTTTAGGTCTAATACTCCGAGTTCCCTTATATCAAGTATAAATCATTAACCACAGAAGCAGTACAGAAGTATATAGAATGTATGACAAAAACTAATAATACTAGCATTGTCCTAATACCAAAATACTAGTTGGGATTACAAGAGAAGAACCACGAATTACAGCAACCAGAAAAAATAATTAAAATTGCGACCACATCTCTAGTCATTTGCAAAATACAATGACATAAAAAAAAAGAGATGGAATAAAAATGATGTACATCAATCCATATTGACCAAATTTCCAGAGACCTCTAACAAATAGCATGCCACTACATGATGCACAGGTATGAACTTGTATCAAATTCTTGTGAAGTTTAATTTATACTCCCATTTATCAAAAGCAAAAAGCTAATGCCTGTATTTGAAATTATTAGCAACGTAATGCCTCCTTTCATTTCAATAGCGGTAAAATAAATTATATCATCTACATGAGTTAATATCATGTGCAAGCAGAAACAAACACAATAGACCAATACTTAAGAGTTAAGACATAACAAAGCAGGATGAAGTTTCCAATGTCCATCCCTCTCAAGCCATGGAATTGTGACCCACATCTAGGAACTTGTGGCCCGTAAATCCATCTGTTTATTCCTCTGCCTGTCCAATTCATTGCCCACAATTGGGTCATCTGCTTGGAATCAAATGCCAGAATCTTCTCAGGCAAAAGAGATAGAGGACTGTCATCACTAACATTATTTTTTCTAGGCACATCACCCTTAGGTGTTGGCAACATGTAGATTTTGAGCAAAATTAGAACCTCACTCTTAGCACTAGTCCGATGCAAGCATGTGTAGAGAGAGATTATTGTTACAGAGGTCAGCCAAGGAGGGGTATACCTGCCAAATTTTTGTTACATATTCAACGCAGCCTGTTCTTTAAAGTGCAGTTTTTTTTGTATCCTCATCTTATGTACAAACTTCCCTTAATGCTCACAACTCTATAGTGACAGAGCTATGTAATTTGTTTCTTTTTAATAAAATATTATCAATTTCACTCAAAAAAAATGTAGACATACTTTTCTATCAAATTATAGTATTACAAAATTTACGGTCTGCAAATGCATTTGTTCTTTCCTTTTCCATCAAACTAATTTTATCAACGATTGCTTCCTTTGTATTTTCTTATGTTTCAAAGGCATTATCTTTTATTATAAATAAATAAACATTGGGCCTTGGGAAACATTACTGCAAAAGCTGAATATGTAACTTGCACATAGGTCAATCAGCTCAAGTCCCAGAATAAAGCCTTCTTATCATTAACTTTACCATCAAGTCAAAGCATGCACATAAACACAAACAGAAACCATTTTACACAACAACCAACATGGTACCAGTTCGAAGACACAATCTTCAGATGCTAATCCAAACAAGCAATGGCGCTAAGATCAAAAGTAAACGAACGTCAATGGAAATACAAATAAAAAAAAGCCTCACGTGTGTTTGCATTTTCTGCACTCAAATTCTCTCTCGCCTTCAATCATTTTGATCGTACCCGTCCTGATGACAGTCCCTTTGAGAGTGAGAAGGATGCCCCTGTGTCTCACTCTCACTCTACCAATGCTTGGAAAGGTCTCTACAGATAATGGAAATTTCCAAATTCTCCCAATTCAAAATAAATAATATTATAAATAAAAATACAAGAAAAAAAAAGATCCATCAGTAAATGATAAGAACTCTTTTTGATAGTAACGAGACAAAATGATAAGACTAAGGTCACTGGACTGATTTATTTTACCTGGGCATTCAAGAGGCGATCCACTCACATTTATGCGAACATGAACAAACTCTTTAGCAACCATTCCACTATCATCCTTATGACTTTCCAACAATATGCCCTGGAAATGATGATCACCACACAACAAAGAGGAAACAAGCTCACACTCATCAAAGAAACCTCTCTCTAAGCCATAATCTAAAATGCATTTCAATCCTCTCCATAAAATCAACCACCCACCTGTGCTACACGAGCGGCATCATCAAATTGGGGCAAGAGCTTTGCAGGACCATAAAAGAGGACGCTGGCCAGCAGCGGGTCAGCCTCCATTAGCTCCGCAAACCTAGAGAGATGGGGAGGAAGAGATAGAGAGAGCAATTCAAAGAAGTTAGAGAGAGAAATCTAGGGCATATTTATTCTAAACTCCAAGAGTGAGAAGGAGACAGACTCAATTTGGAGGGGGAAGTGAAGCAAGTGGTCTAGAGAGAGAAGGATGGAGAGAAGCTGATGCTTGTAATGGCTAAGGAGAAAATTAGCAAGTGGTAGGGTGTAATCTTCGTCGTCCTCCCCCCCATTGGAAGCGCTACGGTGCTGACTGGGATTGTTCGTCGCAGCGCCCATTGATTGAGTGTGGAGTGTGGAGAACGAAGAGGCTGGTAATGAATGAATGATGCCTGCCTTAGTTCCTTGCATTCATTCCACCGCTCTGTTCAGGTTGGCGGGAAGACAAAAAAAAGGGGTGGTGTTTCTTCGAGTCCGCTGACTCATGTGTTCATTTGCGTCCCCTCCAAAGTTCACTTAAAAGATGGACTTTGGATCGAAATTTTAAGAAGACGTATTTCCATTAAGAAAAAAGTTTATACGAACAAATTTTATATAAGTTCACAATGTTACTTATAGAAGTAAGATTACAGATTACCAGTTTATTTGGATGGTATACATACTATCTTAAAAAAGGTGTAACTTTTTAATGTGGGTGCGGTTTGTATAGAACCTAGGCTCTAAACGATCAAATTAGAGCCTATCTTCAAATAGTGTCGAGAAATGTGTTTTCAATTCTGAAAATCTTTGTGATAGCCTTAAAATATATTTTTATATTTATTCATAAAGTTTAAAGCTTCAAAAATAGCGTAGATTGACAAATCTATGAACACTTGAAAATATTGAAAATTGGCGCTCCAAAGATGCGTTACAAAATACACTATTTCCATAACTTGAAATCCAATGTTTTCTCATATCTATGCATCTTGATGTCGAGATAATCTATTTGAAGTTATATGAACATCAAAACAACCTCTTCTAGCAAAAATTTTGAGGTAGGCTCAAATTTGATTGTTCAAAGCCTCAGCTCTATATAAACTTTTCCCTTTTAATATTGGCTTAAAAGAGATTCTAAATCTATACCATCTAACAAAAAGTGATGGTGTAAAACATTGAACTTTAGGCTCTCATTTTCGACAAAAGATAGGTGTTTGATGATCAAGAGTGCTAATTTTTTCCAAACTAAAAAAAAAGGAAAAAGGCCTAGTCCCGGGTCTTTTAAACACATCGTCCATATAGACCCTCATCTCTATGTACAATCCATCGACCTATCTTACTATAAAAAATACACCCACTAAGCCACCTTTTTTAAGTCTTTTTTGCTATTTTGTTTATGTTTTTTTCAAAATTGGCAAACTCACCTAAAACTAGAAGGAAAGAAAGTGAAACTTAGCCTCATCCTTTCCCTAACTCTTTATGTACTTTCTCTCTATTCAAGTAGCTTCCCCAAAAAAACAAAAAAACTTCCCCAAATTCTCTTTCTTGTGTTGGGGTTATGTGGCCATTTAAAGGCTTTATGAGAACATGTACAACTATAACTATAGTGATGTAATAGCTTCAGTAGGAGCGTGGTCTGAATGGACAGTGTGCCATGGTCCTGGATAGATTGTGAGCAGTGTTCGCAAAATCGAACTGGAACGGTTAACCAGACATGGGCCTAGAAGCGGTTTAACTGGCCTAACAGGTAAACCAGCTGATTCAACCGTTCTAACCGAGTAAGTTCCAAGCGGTAAAACAAGTGTTGAAAAAAAAATATATGAAAAAAAATCTACTAAAATATGAAAATTTTATAAAGAATGATCAAAATAAAACACATTCAAATGAAGTTGAAAATTAATGAAAAAATGGATTTTAACCCATTTTATATCTTCCAAGGGTTATTTTTAAAATTTTCTAAAACAGATGGAAAAATATAAAAGTGAGTATTAATGACTAAAACAATTTTTAATCTCTACCATAATGTAAAGAATATTTAAAAATGCAATACAAATCAAATTCCTTATTTTTTTAGAATTTATATATATATATTAGAATTTTTTTTTAAATACCGATTAGTCACCCTAACTGCCCAAAACCGGAATCGGTCACTCGCCGGTTTCGATCTAACCGGGTGGTTAGCGGTTAGATCAGGCAATTTTGCAAACAATGATTGTGAGGCATCGTTGATGTCGTGACTCATCTGAGTTTTGACAGGCTATTGCTCAGGTTGATTTTTTAAAACCCATAGCCCTAGGCATTTGTGTAGAACCGATAAGGGTTTCGAGGTGGGGTTTTCCCTTTATGAGGTCAGAGTTGTGTCCAATGTATTTGGCTAGGGGGCTAGATGTGATCCACGTGTGTGATGGTTGGTCTGAGAGGACAAGGATAAAAATCATCATCATTACCATCACATAGCATATGCACTAGATAGTCGTCCAAGAAGTAGTCATTTGGATGCTAGTGTGTGTGGTGTACATGTACTAAAGAGATAACTGTTATACGTCATTTTTTATGTACTTATATTGCCAGGATGTATAAAGAGGGAGCCGGTAGTAACCAGGTCCCGTCGGTACCCAAAACGTCGTCAGACCACGAGAACACTGTATAAATAAGACTGATATTGGGTGACCTCAGAGGAAGTGTTTGAATGGCCTCAAATTTCATAAGAGTGTAGTTTTGGATACCCTAAAGACACCCGTAAAGTTGTGTCGTGTTCTGATAAGTTTTGAGCCGATTAGGACGAAACTCAATTTTCAAATCCAATTCCTTTCATGCTAAAAATGGACCATATAACTATCGCCTTATTTTCTGGGTCTCAAAAGAGTATCAAACCACCACCATAGTATCCAAATCATCAAACAACCTCTAGATACCAAATTTCAGCCCAATCATCCCTTTGGGACCATTATGGGCCTAACATACTAAAAAAGAGTGGGTTTTACACTATTGCAGTATAGCCTCGATGAACTAGTTTCCATTTATGGAAACTATGTTTTCTCATTTTGAGATGAATTTCAAATGCTCATAACTTGCTCATTTTGGGTCAAATTTGGACACAAGCTAGATCTTGTTGATACGCTCATTTTGACGTATGTCATGCATCTTAGCGTGCCCTGAAACGAGAGAATTCTTAGGGAGAAAGTGGGCTCAAAATTTGAAATTTTATATTTTAAAAAAAAAAACATATCATTCTTTGAGAAGCTATTGCTCAAGATCCCGATGTCGGATCGTCGCAAGTATGGTCCATTGCGACCGTGCTTTGAAGAGCTTCAGTTTGATATAATTTTTTAGCATGTACTGAATTTTGAGGTTAAAGAAGGCACATTTTCCGATCGTCAGCATCTTATTTTTTGGCGACCTCCTAAATTTGGAATTCGCTCAAACGGAGACCAAAATGGATGAAATTTATCACAAAATGATCGTGATATCCTCTTCAATTTGTGATCAAAATGAAGTCTCGAAACATCATGGATCATACCGAATCGGTGGATGAAGAATCAAAAGTTTATGGACTTGACCGGATTTTCTTCTTTAAAACTATGTTTCAAGACGATCAATGGGTATCAAAACGTGTGTAATAATCTAAGCATCGATTCTATGACATTTGATCTCTCGATTTGCCATCAAAAATGTCCGAACAAGCTTTCGAGGCTTAGCAATGGCAAAAGGCCCCTCATAGAGGGATGGTTTTGTCATTTCAAAAATAGTGTTTAGGGGTATTTTTGTTATTAGTTTAAAAAATGGGATTAATATTTTATTTCCTTAAATGTGTAATTTCCAACAATTCTGGTGGTTTTTTAGTATCCATCAATGTTTCTGGGTTATTCTATATAAGCAAAGTAGTCATTTGTAAATGAGTTTTGGAAATCAATTAAAAGAGCTTGACAATTCAAAGAGCTTAGACTTCTTCTTTTGCTTTGATCCTAATTCCAAACTCAATGAGATAGGAGAGAGAAATTACCCCTTCGTACCCCTCACTCCCTAAAACCTTAAACTTCCAATTTCCTAGAACTCCATACTACGTACCCCATACACCTTAGCTTTCCTATACCCTACCCTACTCCATACACCTTAGCTTATACCATACACCCTAGTATCTATACATCATACCTTCCATGAGCACTAACCTAATCCATACACCCTAACTTCCATACATCTTTCCTTATCCACACACCTAAGTCCATATACTTAAAGCCTAAAACCTAGCCTTAATCTACGAGGACCAAGACCTCTATCTAAGGTTCATGCAAAGGGACCCTCGAAGGCACACCTATGCCCAAGCCCAAGCCCATTTTAGGTCCACTCTCTCTCCTCGATCTCTTCTCTCTTTCTCTCTCTCTTCACTCGAACCCACGATGGGTCCAAGCCCCCACTCTTTCTCTCCCTTTGCTCTCATACTCTCTCTTTGCTCTCTCTTCTCTCTCTCTCTCCACTTGGACCTAGAGTGGATCCGAGCCTCCACTCTTTCTCTCTCTTTGCTCTCACTCTATCTCTCTTTGCTCTCTCTTTTTATGCTCACTCTCTTTGCTTTCTCTCTCTCTCACGTAAAGCCATGGACCCGCACTTAGGGTGGGCTTGTCTTCGTCTACCATATCTCTCTCACCCTCTCACCCCTCCTAGTCAAGGACCCATGCCCTAGGCAGGTCCGTCTACCCTGTCTCTTTCTCTCTCTCGCACACCCTTGCACCCCTCCTAGTCAAAGACTCACGCCCTAGGTGGGTCTGTCTATCCTCTCTTTATATCCCTCTCTCTCGCACCCTCTCCTAGTCACTGACCCCCACCATAGGTGGTTCGTCCCTCCCTCTCGACTGTCCTACCCTCTCTCACCATTTCTCTTCCCCCTAGCCATAGACCTACGCCATAGGCGGGTCCATCCTGGCAGTGAGCGTGGTTGTGGCTTTGACTCACATTTGAGGAGATAGCACGAGGTTGCCAATGAAGGGTTGATGATGGATGAATGGTGGGTGAATAATGGTGATCCACCAGCTGACGACGAGTATGGGAGGCGAGATGGCTTGTCGTTTCATGAGCATGGGTAAGACACACTGGGGAATGGTGGAAGCTGGTAATGATGAATGGACTCACTAAGGAGGTAATGAAGGTGGTGTGCACACACAGATAGATCGGTTAGGGAAGACGTGCATGAAGATGCACGTAAAAGGCGTGTGCGTGTATGTGGTCTCACTAGGGAGGTAATGGAGGCGGTGTGTGCACACGAACATGTCGGTTGGAGGGAAATGCATGAATATGCATGTAAAAGGGGTGTGCACATAAGTGGGGATGTCTTTAAGGTCATGCCTCTTGGACCTGGGCAAAGCAGTTTAACGCCATGAGACCAGGGCGTGTACTATGGTTTAAGGACATATAGCTTGGACTGTGGCTAT